TTGAGGCTACACCTTACAGTCAACTACTAAATCCAACAGCCAACGAGAAGCAAATCTAATTGGGTTGACTTAAAGTTGCCCACCTTTCCAAAACTAGGCTTTCAGATGTAGGTAAATGTACTTACATGTTTGACAACTCCTCTTCCCCTAAGTTTTTACAAATCAAAGTGATCCATTGCCTAAATTTTGTTACAGAAAGCTTTGGCAAGTACATACAATGACAGCTGTGGAACATCCATGAATGTTGGAAATTTCACTTCTTCGGAGATATGAAGTTACCATAGTTACTAGAGCACTGACTTGCTTTTCAAAGTTAAGCCTGCTCGGCGCATCCATGTTTGCGCGCAAACCAACAGAATGCTTGAAATTTTGTGTGGCTTTTGTGTGGCTATTGGCATATCTGCATGTGTATTCTCACGCAATGCATAAACAAGGCTGACATGTTAAAACTAAGCACAAAATCAGTAAATGAGCATTTGTTTTGCTGTGTGTAAGCAACGCATGGAGTCACATCTGATGAAATGAGTGGCCAAACTTTCACAAAAACTACTGAGGGAATACTAAATTTGCATATGACGTCAAAAAAGATCACATTCCTCTCCTGTAACTGAACTTACATAATCTCTTCTTGGGGTGGAATATACTGTCATAGTTAACCGGGTCTTTGATGTCCGCGGAGGAGGCAGAGTCATCCTCCTTATCGTCTTGAGTCGGTGAATCCCGTTGTGCCTCTGACTTAATCTCAGGCTCCCTTTGCAAAAAGTGGGCAACATACGAAGAATGTGATTCAACAATTAAACCATTGTCTTCCTCCCTCAGCACAAAAACTGCAGCAGTTTACTTCACATCCTGCGTGGAAGGCCCAACAATTTGCTGTGCATAAGTACCAGCTCCAGGTAAAAGAAACTACCGTCAGTGGCACGCTTCCAAAAATGGAAGGGATTCCTATGTACGTCATTGGGAAGAAAATGACGGGTTTGAGTATTTATTACTGACCTCGTTGAGCACAAATGCTCAGCCCAAAACACCTCAAAAGTGCATTATGAGTCATGAGTAACCAGCAACACTTCTGAGTAGAAAAGCCCTTCAATGAATTGTTGGAGGATTATTTGGCCCAATGGGCTTAATTAACTGTGGAGTAGAGACCAGAGGATTAGCAGGTCCCAACTTAGCCAGAGTGTGAAACAGAGTCCAAGTGGGGTTAATGCAGGCCCAGTAGGTTCAATCCACAGTTCCAATCCTTTTCAAGATACCAGGCAGGCTTACCCCGGACGGACTGGGGAAGGGATTTTAATTTGATGACACAACTTAGTCCACATACAATCCAATGAAGAAAAAGAGCTTAGTTTACCCTTTCTGATGGAAATTAACACAAAAATGACTGATAAAATGATTGCAAGAATAATGTTAAGGGATTCATACAAGTGTGACCCATTCTGCAGCAATGAGGCATAACATCATTTTTTCCCCAGTCATTTTGTTTCAGTTTCCATCAAACAGAGCAAGCTGAGCTTTTTGTACTGATGTATCATTCAGCTTGGCATCAATGGTAAATAAAGGTTCCCGTTGATTTCCAGAGTAAAAGATTCTTTGGAAGGCCTGTAACTCTAAATTTGAATAAAATCTGTTACACCGAGTTCTTTAAATTCACATGAACATAACAATTTGAATTCTCCATACTAAAGACACTGTTGCTATACCTCGTGGTTCGGGGCAAGCTTTGGCTTAGTTACATAAGAGACGCTTGGCACCAATACACTGTTTTCAATGGATAAGATGGGCACAAAGGAACCGGTCCATTCCAGAGATGGTGGTCACTATGCAAAAGCTTGGCCCGAATCATGAGGGATAGCAAGAGTGTCTTTAGTCTGGGGAATTCCAATTGTTATGTTCATGTGCAATCCGAAAACTCAGTGTACCATATTTTATTCAAATTCAACTCTAAAAATGCTTATTTGTTACTCATTTTCACACTTTTTAATTTAAACCCAACCCCTTTCAGGTATTCTCTACACACCCTGCTTAACCCAACAAAATCCAACAGCTAAAATGAAAGGCTTTTTTATTCACTGCTCAAATCAACAAAATTGTGAGCCATAAAGTTGCTCTTAAAATTTCTGAGAAGGGTTTACTTGTTCGCCTGGTGTCATTTACTTGTGCAACAACAAATCACCAAAAGAAAGGGAATTTTAGGACTGTGAAATACATTACAAAAGATTACAGCAGTCTCTTGTTCACAAATCAATGCAACTTTGAGGTTTTTCTCTCGGATGACATCAAGAGTTTTGGTCTTAAGTACTAAAATCTGCCTCAGTACAAAAACTGACAAGGCACCAGGGTACTTTTGAAAATAGCAATTGATGTAAGAAAATGAAGTTAATTGAAACACAAACATGCACTTTAACCTTTCAATCCACACTTGTTTACTGACCTCTGCTTCGTTGATGTCGTCGGGGGTCTGTCTGTGATGAAGCTCCGCCTCCCACTGGCTGACAACGGCGCAGCGGATACTGGCTTCTGCCCCTGGTTGGTGCCCGCTTGCTGTCCCTGCTGCAGCTGCTGTATCGAAACTCCCCGGGTTTTGTTGACTCTCTGTAGGGAATTTAATTTGATACCTCAATTTGGCATTGGTAAAATACATGAAGGTTTACTCACTGTGCATAGCTTCTACAGTCACTGATGCAATATTTTGATATTTAACATCCAATGCTTAATGGACTTCTTTAGTACAGTACAAGCTGCTCTAAATGTTCTCGTTATTATCAAATCTCATTGAACCCAAAAAACAGCTTGAAATATCTTATCGCTGTAATTCGTCATGATAATGCCCAATTATCAACCCAAACGCACTTGTTACATTTTCCAATTATGATAAAGTTGTGAATTCATATATACAACAGAAAACAAAAATATTATAAATCAATGGATTATGGTTCTGCAAAGCACCATTTACCTCAAGGTCCACGATATGCACAGACACGTTGGTTTGATTGAATGAAGCACCGATTAGCTGAGAGGAGGCCACAGCCATGTCTGCTACCCTGCCCCAACCCATGGAGAACGTGTCAAAGCAGCAGACAGGCTCCCATCCGAAGACGTGCAGCATGTCCTGGCTGCCGCTGTACAGGTAGCTCCCTTCGGAGTGAAAGACGAGCACCCTGGGGGGAAAAAGTCAATGTCATTCTACTTAGCTCAACTGTAATGCCAACAATACGACATGTCACCCTCCTTTCGTCATTGATCTGTGCGTGGACGACAGACGCCATTTGATTACCTGGCAACTATACTCCGCAGCCAGCATGGTGTCTGCTTACACTGGTTTGCACCTGCATAGCACAGAATATGCACAACCAATTTTTATCTGATGGTGTGCAAACCCATTGGTTGATACTGATTGTGTGGCACCAATGGAAGCCAGCGTCCCCCGACCTCTCTCTTTTTTCACAGGAGGTGGGTCCTTGTACATCGAGTTCATACCAACTGCTACAAATAGGTAAATCCACTGACCCCGCCCAAATGAGTCCAACCAATCACAGCTGTGATTTTGTGTCGCACATGCATGTACAAAAGTCCAGTGTGTGAGCATGCACGTATGACGAGCATGGATGTACAGTTGCTTGTGTCAGCATTGCCCAGGGGTGTATGGTTGGAGGGGGGGCTTGCTGGATTGGTCTGTTTATGCATCCTTAAGGCTGGAACACTAAGTTAAGCTGAGTCAAGCAATACAGTGATTCAGAAAATATATGTGATACCGACTAATACTAGGAAGTCATTGTTGATACTGACTTGTGATACCCACAACCAGTAAATCAATTCAAGATTACGTACATTGATATGAAAACACTCTAAGTCTGTTTTCATGTATTATCAAATTTCACAATGAGAATTTTTCAATAAAATGGCAAATTTCATCATTTCTTTTAGCAGAAACTGGTCATGTTAGGATGATTTGGAGATAAATATTAATCAGTACTTACATGGTTGGGCTACAATGCACCAATAATAGACTTTGACATACCTAACGTCGGAAGCAGCGGGAACGGTAGACGACACAAGTTCAAAGGTCTCCAAGTCCCAGAATTTTACAGTCCTGCCATGCAAAATGGGAAGAAAGGAGGCAACGTGTAGCAATCTCACAGGAAAATATCACTAACATGGACAAAAAGAAGAAGAAAATTAACAAAGGCGATCCATTATCCAATCTTAGTGAGCACATGGTTTCCCTGTCCCAAAATGTGCAATGAATGTTGGCAAAAATGTCACAGTCACAGAGGACTGAAATTCAGAAATTCAAGCAACAGTGACGAAAATATTTTTTTTGGGCGGGGAGATGTTTGGAATATGTGAAATTGGAAATAAAAGATAGAAAATAGGGTGCATTGCATAAATGTGGTGCATAAAAGTACTTACTTATGCACACAACTAGTCCCCTTTAAAGTGTTCATTTCATTTGAAACAAAAGGGCCACCTGATCTCTCTTAGCTGCACACTGAATCAGTAAAAAAAAGACCAAAAAAGCCGACCTACCCTTTTCTCAGATGACATGAAGGACGAAGCAAAACAAAAATATCTAATTCATGAGCCGTTTAATAGTTACTTGACAACTTTTTCTTGGGGGGGTGGGATCAAGTTACAGTTTGTATCAGTCTTACTTGTCTGCGCTTCCTGTAGCTAGCAAGAACTCATTGGGGTGGAACTCAACATGATTGACGGAACTTCCATGCAGCTTGAAGTCATGTAGGAGCTTGCCAGCAGTCAGATCCCACAACTGAAATTGACCAAACAGATATCAACTCCCACTTTTCTTTTTTCTGGACTGTCGAATTGCAGTACCCACTGCCGCAATGCCCGATTAGCGCCAGCCACAAGCTCAGTGGTCAAATAGTTAAAATGTCTGAACTAGGAAGTGGGGAGATCAAGGGTTCAAGTCCCATCCAGACCAGGGTGAGATTCCTTTATCTTCTTGAAAGCTCTCAGACAGCGTTAAGTATTGCGACTCAATCTGCTCCGAGCAGGGACAAAGGAAGGCGTGTTTTGAAATGAAATTGAGAGTCCTTTGGTACTTTCTCACCTCATAGGCGCAGAAGTTTATGCGCGTTTGAGGCAGTTGTCGTGTGCACAACGAACGCATGCAAGAACCCAGTTGGAAAACTTAGCACCATCTATCTTTATTTCGCCAGTGAGGGTGCACTTCAGCTCAGGCCAGATACTCTCTCTGACTCGCTCAGATAGCATAACTGAGCTTATTACATTTCATGAGTGGAGAACAAACCCAAAGTCTAACATGGCTCTGAATCGGGTTGTGACAAACCCAGACAGACTTTTTTTTCCTGAGCTTGATGGGTGAGAGTTTCTGACCTTAACGAGCCCATCCCCCGATGCCGACGCAATCCAACGTCCATCGGGACTGAAGCGGATGCAGTTGATGGGCCCAGTGTGGCCTTTGTAAGTGAAGATGCAGCCTTTCCTCCTGATGTCCCACAACTGCCAAAAAAGCATATTAACACAAAATGCTCCATTTAATATCAATCCTTACAACTGAATGAACAAATCTGGTTACAGGGACTGAAGAATGACCCCCCCCAAAAAATGCCTAGCTGTCACTGTCCATTTGAACAGCTTGTGACTTAGTACGTGATAACTTGTGATTGAGTTATAAAGACACGTGATGAACTTGACAACTACACTGTTACCACAAATTTAAATAACACAAGGGTTATGTTGTTCTGGTAGCATTTACATGTACACAAGGATTACACACATGTATGACTGGCACGAGAACTGCATCAATGCAACTGGTCAAGCTTATGATGGGGACAAGAACAGACAACTGGCCTTCAGATTTCCCAGTACTTGCACACATTCTACAAACACACACACACAAGTGTGTATTTGCCTGCAACTGGGGACCCCCTATTGTTCCTCATTTGTTTGTACTTCAACTATTTTGGAAGACCACCCATATGTTTTGTACACAGTTGTCAATCAGGGACCTTCTGTCAATCGGGGACCCTCTGTCAATCGGGGACCCTCTGTCAATCGGGGACCTTATTGTCCTCTATTGTTCAGGGTCCACAATTGAATGCAGAAACAAACTCACAAACATTATGTTGCACACATGAAAAGTTCCCACATTTTTTATCATTTACAAAAATGTTCCACAAGCCTCATCTAGAGTAGGCTCCAAACCTCAACTTTATGTGGGCTTCAAAAGTATGCATGTATCATAAAGTTTGAATAGAAGAAAATAAACTATCACAGCACAGCATTCTGCTTATTAGGGAGGAATTGCGCATGTACTTATAGACAGTGTGATCACAAATATACAACTCAAGAGGCTTTGAAAGTTTGGGCTGTCATTTACACCTTGACACACAAAAGGACAGGGGTCTAGTCTGAGGATGAAACTCTTACTTTGATGTTCAAGTCCACTGAGCCTGACGCCACGAAGTCTCCGTAGGGATGGAAGTCTAAACTTCTTGTGTTACTCTTGTGGCCGGTTAGTGTTCTGATAACTGGCAGACAAGGGAGAACGGAAAATGTAAGGGGGGGGTGGAAATTATGACAAAGATGGGTGCTTGGGTCTTAAAATTCAGAGAGTCTCCCCTCCATGTTGGACACAGAATGTTCCTAGCCAGAAAGCTCCCTGTTCCCAATGTGAAAGACAAAGGGAAAACTTGTCCATGTTTTACAGTTCTTTCTCCTGTGTAAGGCATACTGAAACACTTGGCATTCAAAAACAAATTGAAACAACAGGTACTCAGCAAGTGTTACGGTTCTGATAAGACGAGTTATACATGTAATTTGAACAAGCAGCGAGTAAGATATTCCCTGGGGTCAAGCAGGATAAACTTTCAACGTTCCACACGCATACTTCTGACCACTACCCACGCATCAATAGGTTAATGCATTGATAAATTCAGCATTCATTACATGTATTAGGATTGGGCGTGGAAGCATTCGGTAGATCAACAGTTATTATTAAAATAGCAGGAATGTGGTACTGGTATATATATTCATTTTAATTATAAAGTTGAATCCTACCTGCCAAGGGATAACTTACAAGAAGTTCTGATGAATTCAAAAACATTCAACAGCTGAAAAATGAGAAGCTTACATAGTGTAACAAGATCCACCAGGTAAACTATCACCAGGGCCAAACAACCTTAAACTCTCAAGTTACCAGCCTAATCAGCGGCATTGTTCAAAGATACAAGATCCCATTGTCTTAGGCTAGGTAGTTTTATGCTGTTATTGTTAGCTGTGCAACAACCAAAGGCCCCCTACACACACATCCACACACAGATCTGTTGCATCTGGCTGGGTGAACGATCCCAATTTTATTTTCAGTCAAGGATTTTTGCTTCATGGAGTGAATGTGTTATTCATTAATGCCAAACACTAGTTGGAATTAATCCATCTTACTTTTGGCAGCCTCCAGGTCCCAAATCTTGAGTGAGCCAGACTGCGACCCTGCGGCCACAAGCTCTTCATTACTGTTGAACCTGACACATTCCACGGGGGAAGTATGGCCAGAAAGGCTCTGAAATTAGACAAATAAATCCAACTGAATGAAAAGTTTGTAAACCATTAAACAGCATTCAAGACGCTGGTGTTAATGTCGGGTACATGTATGTACACCTTTTGGGGACCTTGAATCATTTAAGGCAAAGACCACTGCATTATGTTACAACTCAAACATGGTCTTGCAAGTGTACTGTGGTGCTTACACAGCTATACCCACTTTGTATGAGAAAGAAGTAAAAAACACCAAAAGTTAAAACGAATTTTGTTTCAAACTGGGTCATGCTATACCTGGAACATCTTAACTTCTATCCTTTCCAAATCGTTCAAAATCCACTGAAAGTTTTGAAGAATTTTGCAGGAGGAGGGTGCCAATTTTCAGCTGAATTAATATAAAAATGAACCCATGCCATTTCTGCCATTCACAGGCAAGGAAATCTCCTGAACTTGGACTTATGGAAGCATTGGAACTCAACACTACTCCAGGGACAGTGAACTCAGCATATTTAAGGCTGACGGCAGAGCAAAGCACAATGAACTCACCATGATACAGTTGGGCTTGTCCACTGCCCACATGTTGACCTTTTTGTCATCTCCACCGGTCACCATCACACGTCCACTCTGCTGACCTAGAGCAAGGCAGTTCACGTTGGCCCCATGGGCAACAAACTCTTCTGCAATGCCAGAAAGGGAACTTTTCAGTCACAAGGCATATTTTTATTGACAACAACTGGATAAAAACTTGAATGAAGTCGCACAAGCTCATTTGTTTAGTTGTACTAATCTAGCATTGAATGGGCCAGCCCAGGACAAGAATGGCTGTTGTTTGGGCCTGGGATTCTTTATTCAGCACTTTTTATCTTTATTTTAGTGAAATTGTGGTTACTTGATTAAAGAAAGTGTAAACCATTGGTAAAATCACCCAAATCGGACTACCATATAATCCTGAAATATCTCACTTGACAGGAAGTGTGTAACAGCCTCAATCAGTCTGTAAAATATTTCCGCCCAGAATGCTGTAGTTTTCGAGAAAACAGAAATTTTGTTCTGTTTTTTACAATGGTCAGCTGACCATTGTATCGGAGTTCATTTCACTTCGCATATCACATTCTTTGACAGATGCCAATTTTCTTGTGTGTAGTGTTCGCAGATGTTATGGGAGTCTCCATTAATGAATGGGTAAACATAAAAGCAGCTAAAACTACACGACAGAAATTCATCAAAAGCGTTGTAAACTGAAATTATAGGAACTTGAGTGTAAGGTGTAGAGTAGGATATAAATTGGATCTGTGTGAAGTTAAATTTTATTCAAGGAAAGGATTTTCTTAATGTAAAAACTTTGCAAATTCAAAATCACCCCTATAGCATAATGGTATGATCCAAAAATGGTGGCTGTTTCCAGAAACAGCAGAATGGTGAAAGAGGTTTTCATCAACAAAATAAGTATGATTTCCACACATTAAACCGCCCATGTTTCAAGACATAATTTCCTCTTTGTGTATAATTATATTAGCAAAGATTGTACAGCGCCAAAGGCGCAAGATGGGTAACTCTGCCCAAAAGGTGTAATTACCATGGGCGCCATTTGAGCGAGCGATACGCCACCGTGGTTCACAGTGATGCTTAGGTGCAGGCTCACTAGGTGCATGTGCCTGCCGCGGTGCCTGTGCCTGTGCATTAATGTGCACTGCGCAGGTGTATCTCCTGCTCAAATGGGGCCCATGCGATTAAAACGTTTTACGTGTATTCCCGGTGAAGTTCTCTATCTAGACCACTACACGGTGCTATACAATCTTTGATTATTAGGGAGTCAACTAGAATTTAGAAATGAAGTTTTAGCATTTCATTGCCGTGTAAACTGACGTGAAAGTGCAGTCATTAAGCATGCTCAAACACACCTGCATTATCATACATGTAGACCTACTCGTTTCAGTGTCACAGACACAAGTTGACTGCGTTCCTGGATAAAGTTTTCATGAATGTGCAATGCTACAATCGAAGAGGTGCATTACTCCAAAGTAAATGCACTGATTACTCCTGGCCATTAAAAACTGCTCCTTTTTAAGGAAATGAGAATCTGTCGCGACTGTTTCCCACTCTGACCCCACGGATGTTGTTCACTTACCACGAACGCCCTATAACCCATAGATTTTATGCAAGATATATTGCAAGATCTTTGATTTAAGAGTTGAAAGCGCCGCGCTGTTTTTCTCGATTTTTCACAAAGCAGTTGGCTCCAACATAAAACAAGTCAGTGGAATGTATGTTGCAGTGAATATTACACACCGTAATCAGCTAATCTTGTGAAATTACACCAAAAACAATGGTGTTCACTACCTTTAAAACTGTGGGAATTTTCAGATCAAATTTTCTGCGTTGAAAAAGTGACATGCAAGGAAGGACTAAACACAACATCCCGAAGCAATGTTTGTCACATCTTTCTCCAGGTATACAACCCTTTTTCTTGATTATTCCACTTCCCAATCTCTTCAACTTGAGTCTCTTCTCATCGTTCTCCAGTCATGTGGACAAAACTGTTATAATATTTATTAAAATTTATTTCATCAAAATTAAAATTTGAACTTTATACCATCAATTTTTGTATGATGGGAGTTGAATTCTGAGGATTTTCACTCGGGGTACGAGTTTTTTTGACTTCAATGAGCATTTTTGTCTTCGGGAGCCATCAAACCAGTAACAATTACAGAAAAATATTAGAGGAATGCACACTGTGTCTCTTTGGAGGGGCTTATTGACTGTGCTATCCTAAAATAATTGGACAAGGATCTGAAATTCCCCCCATTTTCTCTTCAAAAAAGCCCCTCTTCTAGATGATGGGGAAACGGAAATTAGGGTGTTTGCATCAATCATTCCGTGTGTTCATCCTCTTTGTGGAAGTTTTTCTTCTCTGTGTCCCACAATTTTGTTGAAGATGTTTGATTTTTCCCTCTTGTTCACTAAAAAATGTTGTCATGGAGCACAAAACACTGCCACATTCAGTGGCAACGGATCACACTGTATTATTCTTCTTAGAAAAACCCGAAAGTGTATTCAATTTTTGGAATTGGTTTCCCTACATGTATCTTGGATAGATTTTGTCCATTTGGGCCATTTTTTATGGCGAAACCACCCCTCGAGGTGACGTTAAAGGGTGCACTCCTCCAAATTGTTGGATTTCTGCACATGAGCGCATTAATGTTTTGTGATTCCACAGGGTTGTTATAATAATCAGGAGGGATCATGGAGATACAAGTATCTGTATAAATCACAAATTTGGGACTGGTCCATGTAGTTTTCAATTCGGGGTATTTCTTTCACAAAAAGCCCCAACCTGTGAGCTTATTTTGAATAGAGGCGGCGGCTACATTCAGAGCTCGGCACATAATTTTACTATTAATTTTGGTGATCATTACCATTAGCATCCTGTTCCTATAATAAGGAAACAAAGTCTACCTTTTCAAAACAACTTACTTAAACAACTTGGTGGTTATGTCCTCTTTCATATCAGGAAGAATAGAGAGACGGGCTTTGGATTTTGAGGGAAATTATGGGGTAAAACAGCAGCATAAATGACGTGACGAAGAGCTGTGAAGGAAGAAAAACTAGCGCATGTAGTCTGGTTCCTTGACCTGGATGAAGTTTCTTTTGTGGAACATGGAATTCAGTATATCCACAATGGCTGGGTCAGGTAACCAGACACAAAAAGAAATGGCGTGATGCGGTCATCTTTCGACGAACTTGGGTAGAAAAATGTTGGTTTTTGGCTTAAATATTGTCAAAATCTACCTAAACTAGAGCTAGCTTAAACACCCTAATTTTGGGGGTATCTTTGGCATGTTCGGAGAAAGGTGAATCAAATTAAAATTGATTAAATTTACATGTAATTTAAAAGCTTTCTTACCGCTATGAACCATTTCACCACAAAAAATCGATTCCAAAACCCCATATCGTTACGACACCATGTAAACCTTGTCTCCTCTAAGTCACACGGAGTACATGTAGGCCTATCACGGAGTTACTGACTTAGCGTTAGAGTTCTTGACATGCTCGAGGACCAGTAATGTAGGATGGTCAGATCTTACAGATGGTTAGCCTACTTACGAAGTTTCCATGATCGTTTCGTTGTCATTTTCAGTGCAACTTCACGGTCGTCCTTGATTATGAAATGGGCCTACTCCTTCAATTAGAAAACCTATGATGCGGTCACAATCAACAGCTAAATTGAAACTTTGCCTTATTTTTTTCTGTGATTCCTAACAGCAACTCGCCCGACATGCTGCGCATGGGGATCGGCAATCGTAAAAATATGATGCTTTTGACGTTGGTGACAGTCGACTTCCTTCAGAAGAACGGCTGATTCTATTGGCCAAATTTGTTCAATATTGATCATGATCAATAAGCACAGGCAATCAGTTAAAATTGTTAATACCCCTGATTTATGTTACAAAGCCATGAAAACATACAAGAATGTCAGCATAAATTTGTAAATTATATTTTGTCATTACATTCAAAACCATCGATTGCATACTCTATAGGTTAGGGTAAACCAATCAAAGATGCGCTTTTTTCAAACCATTGGTTACCTGGGTGGGGGCAAAGTTCAAAGTAAGAAAGGTCAAAGTTGAAATTATACAACCAAAACAAGCCGTGGGGGCCGGTGCCGCGCCGATCGGCTGTGCAAGATCTCCTCCACGTACATGTACATGTCTACTTCTATGGCAAGGTGTACAGATGTTGGCCTACATGTACATGTGTACTTCAGCTGGAAATCGTCTCACGATGTTTTGGAAAACTTCTGTCAATACTTATCGAATTCTTTCAACCTGCAGTAGACAATTTTGTAAAGCTAGTTATGTACAGGGCCAATCACCGGAGCCCAAAGTGCGGGAATATTTTTACTTCATTGACCATCAAGGACAGGTATCATTTCTGTGATTTCACACTATTAGTTAATGCTAGGAATCGAATCTCGAATGTCATGTGTAACCATGGAGGAAAGTGCAACTTAATTATTCCTCTATACCTTATTGTACTCCCTTCTGACTTTTAAAATTTTAAATTATTTTTAATTAATTTTAGAATTTTAAAATTAAATTTACATAAGACCTTCTCCAACTGACAACTGTGAGACTAGTGAGATTGGAAATATTTCAACCCAAGACATTTCAATGCTTCATTTTTTTCATTGTTCCTTTTGTATTAGTTCAAATAATTTTCCCATTTCAGCTATTTCTGGATGACACCAAGGTCAAAAACTTCATCACATGTTTCAAAGGTAAGGTTTGGACAATTCATTGAGAATTCAGTCAACCAGTACTCTGATGTATGCTTAAATTTCAGTCGATACTTGTTCTGCATAAAATTTTCATCTTGTTACATTCGCAAATCATGTCGTATTGAAAGTTTTGCAAAGCTTCAGTCCTCAAGGAGGGTCACTCTTATTTAACTTGGCAGATAAGAAGTTTTTAGCATTCTTCTTCAAGCGACTCAAGCTAAATAACATGGAGCGGTATGCTGGTAATTTCCCCTACCTATCCCCATGTGGGGCAGAGAGAAACTTTGTCAGGTGTGATGACCGACCAATAGTCTTCACCAAAATCCTTGCACCGGAGAATGGCCTGGACACATCAGAGGAGGCACCTTCTGACCGCCTGGTCTGCAACCACGCTGATAGTTTCACAGTTAAGTTTGAACCAGCAAAGGTGTGCATGCTACCCAAGAGTGGGCGGATATATCATCCCGCCCCCAAGAAGACTGGAGGGGTTGGACTCATCAAGTCCAGTGTTGCGATAGAAATAAGTGCGTTTTTTGAATTTGGAGAAGCTGGGGAGTATGCCCCACCCACCCACTTCAATTGGAACGGCCGACGATGGGAACTTACCAATGAGATTCTGCATTCTGTTGTGGACAGTGCAGAGAGTGAAGCAACCGGTTTGTGATTTGAAAGGATCAGAATTACCAGTAAAAAATTGGGTGTGCCAAATGTCCAGGGGCTTTGCATTGTTTCATCATCCAGCTGACTTAAACTACCTCCAATATTTTATCTCATCATCACTTCTGGAAGTGCAGGGCTCTAAGTACTCTTTGATCTAAGCCCTTTTGAGTTTTACAGAATTCTTCACTGATAATGCTAAGCCACTGACATACATATGTACCATAGGCAGTGTTGGAGTACTCGTACTCATGTACAACTTGAGTACACCAGACTTGGCCTGCACTCGATTATCAGTACTCGGATTTTGGGTGTACTACTCAGTACTTGACCATTGTACAGGAGAAAAGTATTCAAGTACTTCACTTTTTATTGATAGCGTTTTCACATTTTCAGGCACTAGGTAACAAGCAAAGATTGCATTGCTCGACCTTGAACGCTACACAATGTGACACAGCCATTTCACTCTGTAGTCTACTATACGCATACAGAATGTTTACCGTGCTGTTTGTACAAGGAACCTTTCTGCTTGTCTAGTTTCTGCCTCCACAGCTTTTACTATCGGAAATTGTAGCGCTGATATGAGATGAGCTCACGCTCCATGAGCATGGCATCATTTCCCGTGGTGCCAACAAATGGACTGACACTGATAGAGGCTTTGTTGCAATTTTATGTTGCTTTTTCATCGTTGAATTTTTTGACAATTCTGATAGGAAATTGTTTTAATCCTATCACACTTTATTTTTTTCTTTTGTTTTTCACAGACACAGTGTTCCATGCTTTTCATTATTCTTCAACCTAAATATCTCAATAGTTTTCTTAGTCCTGGTGTCTACCCAGTTATCGGCGATTTATTTTTTTTTTGGCAATTGTTTTTTTATAGAAAAACACAGACTGACAGAGAATACATTGATTTGTCACAAAGTTGAAAGTGTTAGTTACTTGGTAAAAGCAATTGTTTTAAGCAACATTCATGTAGATGTGTTCACCTTTTTGGTATTGTGTGTGTACATGTACTCAGACTTGGAGTTTGGTACTCGGACTCAGCCCAGTACTCGGCCTTAAATGTACTTGGTGCTTTGGACTCTGACTTGTCACCAGTATACTTGTACTCAATTCCTCCAAGCTGAAGCAGACTGCTACTACATTGTCAGAAAAACCTTTAAAACAGTCGATTTATTCTCCTCCCTCCAAAAAAAAAACCTCAAAAATTGGTTCATGTGTATAAACAAGTAACAAGCTTCTCCTGTAATTTTTCAGGTCAGTCCAATTTGAAACAGTTTCTCTGCCATTTGGTTGATCATTAATCATGTGAGAGCAGTAGAAATAGCCACAAGGAAAATATAACTGAAGAAAAATACACAGTACAAATATGGATTGGACAAAGGGCCAGTTTAACTTTTATTACAAATTGCACACACAAATCACAGTCTTCTATTCACTTAAACATACAAAAGTTGCGCTAAAGAAAATCTACAATACTTGTTACAAGCTAGAAAAAAAGTACACGGAATGACACACATTTCCTTAGTGAAAATATTAATTTATTTTAGGCACTTCATCTGCATCTGCAATAGAAACTTTCCACCTCTTTGAGGTTCCTTGATCTAAAAATACAATGAACATTTGGGTATTAATTTTTTTCATTTATCCAACACAATTCTGTCAATCAATGCCACGTATGCGAGGAAGCTAGGTTTTCAAAGACAAAACTCTTTTAGCCTGATGCTTCTTTGCCAATTCCCGAGGGGAAGCAAATTGAAGCCCTGTGGTAATAAATGCAGCAAAGTTTGTGCCGGTGCCTTGATAATGATTACCACAACAAAGTCACAAAAACCTATTGGCCAAGCCAGCTCAATTCATCAACCCTACGCTATCAAGCAGATACCGTGAGGGGTGCTACATTGGCTCCTTTTCCACATTGTGCATTAAACAAAGGAATACATGTACACTGTATGTATATTTTTCTATCTTTGAAACCACTAGACTTGAATGTCTGTGGATAAATAGCAAATCATGTCTTCAACAAATCCTTTATGATCTGCAGTCCTATCCACTGACTACTGCAAACAAAAAATTACATGTGGAAAATTGTTTCCTGTGTTGAACAGAAATTGTCTAAAGTTTGTCTTTGAAAATATCTGTCTCTATCCTGTGTAGATACAAGGGAATTATTTCAGAAGTGTTATGCTTGTTGCATGGTGGTGTCCCTGCTATCTCATCAATGTGGTGCAACACCTGAAATAGTTTGAGCACCCCAAGATTTTACATGTACCTTTGAAAGATTTTGTCTGTGTTGGTGATGCACTGACCAGCCTCATTTACACTACTTGCCAATGCAACACTCACCAAACACCATCACCTTCCTTTAAAACCTGAATTCCCTGAAACATTCAACCATGGTTAGAGGGAAACATACAAATCCCTGTTTGGCCTGACTAATATGTAAAATGAAACAGGTGCTTTTTAATCCATATGGAAATCAAAGTGGAGGAATGTTCTTTGGACTCATTTGTAGGATCCAGTCACATTTGAGGAGACTGTGCTTAAAGTCTGTTGAATGACTGTAAAATATCTTTTGAAAGAAACTCAAGTCAGTGTTACCATTATCTGCCATCTGAAATGACAGGCCCAAAAGTGCAAAGAACACTTTGGTATGAATTCAAGTATACATTTACTCAACTATTAAATGCTACAGAATGCTACCGTCAAAACATTGAACAAAAAGGTATACCGTACTAATGGTTCTTCATCAAACACTGAAAGATTCATGTCAATTCAATTGAAATGCTGTTGTTTTTTTCCGTTGCTTGAGTGTTTCAGTATTTATGCCTGGCCATCTACTATTCTAGTCAGTCCTGATGAAGATCTCCGGATCGAAATGTTTACTCTATCTAATGTTCTACATGTTGTGTTAAACTAGCTCCAAAAAAAAAAAAAAAATAACGATTTAATTTATTTGAAATGTCTTGTTTTCATTGTGCGAACTATATCACTGCCTCAGCTTCAATCAGAAAACCTGGAAGCCAAGAATTAAGCTGTCGTTACCATCAAATTACTGGATGGATTTTATCCAGCACCTCATGTAAGTACAGGGACTTTAAAACAAACTCATAGGTACTAACTACATGTACTTAAAAAAACATGAACAAACAGTACCTGCCAGTCACAAATGAGAAAACAGCGACATTTTGGAAAGCCTAACCCTTTGATCCTCCCCACACATATCATTTTTCACCAAACTGTACACATCTTGTTTCTCTTAATCAAATTCTCTTGGTTTGTTGGTTTTTTCAGAATCCACTTCCATTTGGCAATGTTCACGGAAAAAGGAGTTTTAAGACATTTACTAAAATGTTCCTTAATAGCAATTGGATTCCACAGTCCTTCACCATGTGACTATCAAAACGTAAAGTAATCACCTTTGGCAGATGAGAGAACTAATTGTTCAAAAAGTATTTCATACTAGGTATTTGTGACTTGTAACGAAGAATACAAAGATCTACTCACATAGTTGCCATTGGTTGCCATTTAGAACACAAACTGACCTGCGCTGTGGCAAGACATAAATATTTCAAATGAAGGTTACATCTACCATTAATTAAATATTAGTTCATTGTTTCTCGGTGTTATTTTCTATGTACAAAAATTATATAGTTGAGCACATTAAATTAAGTATGTATATCTCCTATGTACAGTTCATAATCGGTATTTTTTCAACAATCAATGAATTTTTAAAAACTTAACATAGACATTAGATGTGACTTACAACTCAGTGTGAAAAATATTTAATTTCTGTGCCAACATTCAACCACTACCTTCACAGACCACAATAATATAAACACTGCTATACTCTTTCAACGTTATTGGTGAATTCTCTTTCTCATAAGTGTATTTCACATAACCATACATAACTCAAAACGATCAAAATGATCTCCTCCCGCAAAAAATTACTGAACTTCAAGCATGATTACTCAAAAATAATGGCTCCCTGAAATGCACAGTTTTCATTGAGTAAGTTTACCTCTATCTGATTTTATCCTTACGGGATTCTACATTGATACAAGCCAGCTGGCCTCCACTCCGAATTCACGCACAACATTTTTTTTTTTAGGAACCGCTCCGAGTTAATAAACCGCTGACTATCTGCAGTAACCTGATGGCATTTATTTCACCAAAATGAGGCAATGCATCCAGCCCAGTGCAAAGGAATGCAAACCCAGGGCCTTATTGCATGGACCTGAGCATGCAGAAAAAGTTCCCAAGCAAAGTTATTTCTAAAAGTACAAAAGTAAGCAGATTGCGGTCAGGTGTAGTGCACACTGGATGACATTTTACCAGGCAACCAATACTTGCTAAGCAAGTTGCATTCCCCTGCCTAGCTCAATCCTGTGCTCGGTGGCTCCATGAAATTTGTCTCTGGTGTTGGGCTGGGCCAAATTCAAGTGAGTTTGGTTCACTCATACAATATGAACCTCCCAATATTTCTTGGGCATATGTAATTATTCTATACAGCCATACAGCTGCCACAGGTTCTAGATTGTACTGGAAATGGGCCACATAGAGGAGCTTAGATGCATAGCATTTTGCTCACACCACTCATCAAGATTGTCAAGTAATTTTTAATATTTTGCTGGAGTAAAGGCACCCTTGTCAGTCTTTACTGAATACTTGCAGTGTACCTGGTTTGACCCATGACAGACCTGACGTTTGTGCATTTTTGTGACCTCCGCTTTCCCCAGTTGTCTTCTGCAAGAGGAAGAAAAACAGCTCTGAATTATAGACAAGATGCCGAAACTGTGCCATCTGTCAAGTCACAGATCACTGACATTTTCAGGCCCTGCACCAGGTGATGACCAGATCATGGGTGTACTAGAGAGAGACGTCACCATATCTAACTTCCTGCGTGTGTAACATCGGAATTAAGATGCCCACATACCGGTGGTTTGGGCGTCATTATTGCTGTCTTTGCTGTTCCATGTTTTTCGTCATCCCACTCACTGAAGTGAATGGCATGGGGGTCTTCCGAGTATGGTGGGTCGTATTTACGGCTCTTGCACATCTCGACCGTTTCGTTGACCTTGGATTTGAACAGGTCTAGGTCCTCCTCATACCTGTGGCAAAATGAGGACCATAATGGATAAGAACCAGGTGTGACCTCAAATCTGACTTTAATTTTGACTTGCGGACGTGGGCATCCAAAAAGTTTGTACGCCCGGATCTGGCACAAAGTCAGTTTACCAACTGGCAGCATGTTCTATGTGGATGCTGGGAACTTGGGTCCAATGATATTAAAATGTCACCTCCAGCCTCTCTGATTATCACTAATATGGAGGGTAGAAAGCACCCATTATACATGTCACCTGGAAAATTTACACACTGGGAGAAACTGTGACAAACTCAAGACTCCACACTAAAATCCAAAGACTGAAACCGTAATCCAACACAGTGTGTAACAAGTGGACTTCTTGAGAATGCACTTGGACATGAAATCTTTTCAAATGAACTTTGCAATCCGCCTAGCTAGATGAAAAATGGCCATTATAATGACTCCTGCAGACTGGACTCAAGCCAGCGCACACCACAGAGTGGGAGGAGAATACATGTATTTATTTTGCACTCTTCACTGCTGGTCTGCTGAAATGGATGTGGCTTGACCAGGCGCTTAAGTTTGCGGTGGGGAAAGCTTGGACTTAAACACACAAAAACAGGAAAAACACAACCAAGAAACTGAAGGGGACAAACAGACTGCAACACACTTTTTTTTTTCTAGGGAGCTACACATTCAAACTCTGAAGTAGTTACTGGCTTAGCCACATAAACGAAGCAGACATGCACTGTAAATAAAACACCACTACTACTTCCTCACTACGTCATGACTGACGTAGGTGTAACACACTGAAAAGGTTGTCTATTGTGTCATCACGTCAATCAATGTTTTTCACACTTCCTAGTGTGGCTGTTGGAATGGCAGTTTCTGCCACAGAGAGTACAGGTGAAGGATGACAATGCCTGACATGAACCTGCTCTCTCCTTTCATCTGGATCTCTTGCTGGCCAGGGATGTATTTCTGCAATAACAACACCAATCCCTAAACGCTGCTCTACTCACAAGACTGCTGCCTCGGGGTTGAGCGGGGCCTTGGTATCAATCTTGTAGAACACTCTCCTTGCATACAGCAGCACTTGCCAGATGTGGTTCACGTTCCTCTTCCACTTCGTGAACGCCCTTTGAACATCTAGCTCTCCACTGACCGGGTCAATGATGGGATGAAAGATGGACGGCCGAAATATTAACCTCTGGAAAGGGACGGTACAGGAAAGGACAGAACTTTGAATGCAACGTTTGGCCTAAGCTACCTTTGAAATCATAACATACCTATGCTAAAAAAATTGAGAGATTTGTCAGACTTCCAGGATGATGCTAATCATCAAGAAGATGAAACATATAATACATCTGTGTCAATATCTACAAGTGATAATCACTATCATATGTTTCAAACAATGAGAACACTTACTGGACTGTCTCCATCAGGATAATTTTCTGGGATGAGCAAGTCAAACTTGAAGATACCTTCTTGATAGAGCCCCTGTCTGATGAACAACACTCCAAACCAATCTAGGGGAAAGAGAGACACCTCTCTGGGCTCAAAGCAATCCTCCAAGACATTTCATTTTGCCATGGTTTCCTAAATCAAACCAATGGCACATAATGACAAACAATGGCACCTAGCAATGTAGCACATAATTTGTTGTACTTACGGAGGGGTGATTTAGCAGAGGGTATGACATAAACCCCAGGTAACTTCTGTTTGTGAAGCTGATTGCTGGAAAAGGAAAGAAAAAGGAGATAATAAGCCATATGTACAGAACAAAAAACGCCCATACCATAAAAAGTTTCTGTCCACTAATTATTTCAAAAACTGTTAGCATAATGCCAACACTGTAAAAAAAAATGTGACGGTGCTTTTCAATTCTTTGACAGAATGTTCATAAAAAGGGCAAAAAAGTCAAATTACACCATTTTTTAATCATCTGTAATTGTTATGTGGCACACTTTTTCACATGGAATGGTGCCCGAGCTAGCCATGATGCTTACTATTCAGCCATCAGTGCATACTCAAGATAGAACTGCCCGTAGGCGGCCGTGGTGCCATTGCTGGGGCTGGTGGCCGAACTCGCCCGTTCTGCTGATGATGATGACAATGACCCCGACCTTTCGATCCCTGAGGCCGGTCTACTGGGCCCTGCAGCCTCTGCTGCCTCCTCCTCTGTGGGCACCCGAGGGAGTTGCTTCTTGGCTGCAGAGGCAGGGTGCCGGCGCACGATGAGTTGAGCTTCTGCTTCCGTAGTTGCACCAGCCTGCAAAAATGCAAAAGATATCAAGCATGTGAGGATTTGTGTGTAGCAATACATGCACAGTAATTTAAACATCTTTCATTCAAAAAACAGTTTGCCAAAGACTGAGCTTTTCACACAAGATGTAAGTTACCTGTACCTCAAGATGTTTAGGGGTAAATAGCCAATATCATCAAAAACACTTTCCTCCATAGCACCACCCAAGACTTCAACTGATTTTGGCTTGCTTTTAACTGAAACCAATGCAATCAGTTCCTTGGCAGAGTGGGCCACTAATCCCAAGGATGCAGTAATTCCTAAAAGTTCAAGAATTAGAGTCTTCATAAGAATCACACAGCAAACACACTTTCAAGAATTTATTTACTGCGCCACTTCTCTTTGGTCCCTTTTCAGTGCTAACTTCTTCCACGGTCCAACACAAATACGACAGCAGTGCATATCCATTTCTCTGCTGAGCCAATATCCAGTTGACCTTGGCAAAAATGAAGTCCTGCGATAACAGTAATTCCATGTTAGGATCCAAGCAATTACCATATTTACTCGACTGGTTTGCGCATACTGAAAATACATTGGCAGTTTTCGCAACAGTCCAGTTAATGCCGCCATGATCACACTCCAGCAATATAAAAGAACTAATTCGCTTCAACAAAACAGGTGAAAGAAAAATGCAGGCTCCCTCTGGCCACTGCCTATAAACTTGTTTTTTTTAATTCAATGCTCATGAAATGCGATGGCCTCCTCATCAAAGCCCTGTAAAATGAGAAATGTCCACGTAGAACATGGCAGTGACTGTGTGTAAGTTCCTCCAGACAATTCCAGCTTCCTGTAGGAGCCACGGATGCTCTGAATTAAAATGCCACGAACTGGCCAACAGCCAAGGTGTTTGAAGAAGGGATGTCTGCTTGAGGTTTGGCTTGTCGTCTGGGTACAGAGCCAGACTATCCCTTAGACCTTCTAAACTTAGCAAATGTGTGTTACAGACGGCTGGTGAGTCTCATTAAATCTGCACAATAAAATGTATGTACATGTACACATCTACAAGTAAATTTGGCATGATATCATTTTGATACAGTGTACATCAAATATCAAAGTTGGTATCGTTTGAAAACTGCCTTCTTCTTAACTTGTGGTCAGTGTTCTGCTGTACAGTCACATGTACATTGTACATCAGGTGGATTTGTTTGTCATTTAAAAACAAGTTAAATGGGTAATTGCAGTGCTAGTGAAGTGTACTGGTAAGTGATGGGTAGCAAGTTTTAGACATCTGACTAGGGCTTGATTTCATAGGACTGTTTAACAGGAGATGTGATGTGAACTGTCTTGTTTCATGGAGAGTTTGAACAGAAAGCATAGCAAAAGGATGCCTAATCCCCGAGGAAAGGGTTTAGCATGTGCGTAAACTGTTAACTTATTCAAGCTGAGATACAACTTTCCTGATTACTGTTAAGCAGTGCTATGAAATTGGGCTCAGGAATTAAAAAGACTAAAGAAATTTGATGAGGTTTTCTTATTTGTAAGATGCAGGCTTCAAAAATTGCATTTTCTTTGGAATTCAGTGTAGCAATATTGAGGGCACATGGACAGTGGTTTGAGGAAAGTCTGAGATAAATTCTCCCAAAACAACGCACCCAAAACATCAATAATTTTACTCCATGTTATCCACGCAAGTCATTTTCAACTGCAGCTAATGTACATTTATCCGCGCCCTACACTGGGTTACTGGGATGATTTGTTCACTTTTCCTTTTCAAAGCTTGAAGTTGCTGAAACGCCAGATCCCAAAAAGAATCACGTGTGTTCCATTAGAAATGGGCACTGCTCCAAATAAATGCCTTAACAGCTTTTATTGATTGACACCTTGGACATGTTTACAATATAACAGAATAATAACTCCAGGCAGCATGCAGGAACTGACTGTGCAATGTACGCAAGCCCAATACAAAATTGCACTGTACATGTACATTGTGAATCTTGGTCGATTGCTGAACATTGTAAATGACCTTGAGCTGATAATACATCATGTGTACATGTAATTCCCTACACATGTACATGTATACATGTTGTACATGCTAGACCCTATTATTTCACATCTATTTCAAGTGCAGGTAGGGTAAGCAAGGTGATCATTAGAATAGTGCGCATGCCATGCATTCAATTAATTTGAACACAAGTCTGAGTCATTCGCAGGGCGTTGTCTTTAAAGCTGTTTGAAGCGTCACAGTAAAAGGCCTGTTGAAGCGAATAAAAAATGCCCAAATTTAGAGGTCCTGAAATGCTGGATTAGAAGTTTCTCAGTGTTTTCAAACAAGGTGAAAGACAGGAAAAGGCCTTTAAGTCTGCTGATTCATTTTTGATTGTCCAAAAACGTTTGGGGTATTTTAAATGTTCAAAAAGTGTACTTAAATACACTAAACCCTGAAAGGATAGTGTCTGACAGTTTTAATACACGGGACAGGAGTACGTGTACAACTTCAACAAAAAAGTGTGTGTAAGAAAAATTAATTGCATACGCCCTTTAACAATTAATCCACAAAAAATATTGTGATTTTTCTACAGGAAGAAACAGTGAGTCATGCATACTGCATATGTAATAGACTGAATTTGATCACTTCCAAGTTTATATTTGTGGGTTACTATTTTGGTACAAAATCTTCTCTAGTCATGGTGAGATGATTGACTTATTTGTAGACTGGTAAGAGTGTGGAGTTAAACAATCAAAATCACCCTTTTTAAACAAAAACGTAGTCTACTCTTTTTGTCACGATTACATACATGAGTGCGTTTGCATCTACTTCTATGGAATCTCAGGCAAAGGGCTTTCCCTGCCTATTTAAATATGAGTCAGCCCACCTCACTCATTTCAGTGACCATTCCAGCCTTTTTATTCCATACTGACCCCCTCAGACTAAACAGCAACCAAAACAAAAAAGTAATAATCAAAGAATGATGAAAAACAAGTCCAAGACTTTTGTGGCATTGTTCCCATTTGCATTACTCTGACTGGAAAAAAAGCAACAGAATGCAAAGTTATATCAGTGCATTGAAAAGAAATGGATCGAGAGTACATTCTACAGAAAGAGTTTATAAAAAAAAATTATTTCAAGCCCTGCTGGGACAGTAGGCAATGTGTGCATTTGCAGAGGGACACTTTGATTTCATCCTAATTTGGGGGCCAACTCAGTTCTTGGGCAGGATTTAAAAACTATTTAAATAAAAATCCTGTTGACTTGTTTTTAATTTCTGTTATTTTTCAAATGTAAAAAAAATTGTAATTCAAGTCTGTACTTTTATTAACTTTAAACGGCTCACAAGCACTGTTAAGGGATATATATGACCTTGAAGAATGTCTCCTGACAACAATGTACAACATATTCTTGTGCACACAGAATATGACACAGCATTCTGAAGTAATATACTGCCTCTAAACTGATATACAATATGAATTATGATTACAGTGTTCATCTCCTCTTGCATATGTGTGTATTTCTTTCTTTTGGCACATGAATAACTGCCGTTAATTAGTTCCACCTGTTGCGAGCTTTTATAATCCATTCCAACTGACTCTTAAAGGCTCAGCTGCATGTGCCCAGTATTATCATGCTCATTCCAATAAACACAAAAAGACTGCAAATGCTAGCGACTTTTTATAATAAATTACATGTATGTATGTTAACGAATGGTTATGCTTGACTTTCAATGAGTCATGTAAATGCACTCATTTGAAAAACCTACATTTTAAGCAAATGGTACAAATGGGGAAAAAATTAAAATCTATTTAAATGAATAAAATGATTCAAATTGTTAAAAGTATGATTTAAATTTTTAATATCTGATTTTTTGAATTGGAAAAACAAATCATGATTTTTCTCCAGCTGACAACTGCCCTGAACTAGTGCTTCCACAAAAATGACCCCATGGGATTGCACATTTTTCGCTGCAAATTATGCTGTCATTTTTGTATGAGGTTCTCCATGTTACACACTGTACACAATGCAAACACATGGGCCCACATGGTGGGTTGGTCTTATGGATGTCACAAAACATTCAAACAGGAGTCTGTATGAATTAATTGTTGCTGAATCAAAAAGTTTTTGAATTCACAAATAACATACACACATCCTTTGCTTTGCCGTGTGCCAACAGGTGATTTACTAGTTGCAACATGGTTGCCATATGTAACTGGAAACCATGGACTATCAAAGATTTCCTCAGGAAGTTTACTGGACACTGGAAAAGGTATCCACATGATTAAAGGGCAGCAGACAATTAACAGGTGACTTTCCATTGTGAACAGGGCCCAATTTCATGGCGCTGCTTACTGCAAAATTCTGTGCTAACTGTGCTGAGGAAAAATTCTTGGCAAACCTTGTAAACACAGAATCTTTAGTTACAGGATGTACGCATGAGCACAAGCTAGAATTCCTCACTAACCCATGAAATACGTTCACTGTAAGCACAGAAATTTCTGCTATGGTAAGCACCAATTTTTCGCTTGCATTAAACAGTGCCATGAAATTGGGCCCAATGTATCAGTCTTGCATTCCTTTTCATGCACACGTCTGGGCATCATGGAGCTAGACATCAACCAGTCTAGCTGTAGACTCCTTTGCTTGCATGTCATCGATTGGTCCGAGACCAGGCATGCCGGGATCAAATGTTTTAATGTCATTTCGCTCATCAATTTATGATATTTTTATTTTTGTTGGCCTACATGTATTGTGAATTACAATGGTCACCTTTTTTTGCTAAAACCATTTTACTGAAATTTACCACCTACACCCTTCCAGAAAAACTGTGCTACTGTAAGTCATCTCTCATACTGTGGAAATGTACCTTGTCCCTAAGGTGTAAACTTTTACTTAACATGTACGCCACAATAAACAAGTACATGTAGGACCACACTGCATTTGGGGACAGGGAGGAAACTGGGCAAATACGGTGAGTATTTCAGTGCTCCAAATTGACAAGTCACCTTACCTGTGATGGGTGAACATGTACATCTGATGCCATGCTATGAGTCAAGGTGATACAGTGACCTCCACTCAGTAAATTGCATTATTTGAAATCACTTCCACTTGCTACACCTACAAAACAGACAAAAAATGGCAAAATGGTGAGATTTACCTAGTTTGAAGTGTATCCTTACAGATTTGAATTTCAACGAGTTTCAACATGTACAATGTACATGTACTTTTTTTTACAAGTAAACAAAACTGCAGAGACAAAGGTACATGATGTAAATTGAGAGTGCGGTCACAGTAGATGACACCATGGAGGAATACCGATGACACTAAACATTTTGTGGGTGGGTTAATGCAGAGTTGTTATGAGAAAAAACATTTTATACACACAGGTGAAAAGCAAAGAACATGGTAATTTACAGTATGTATGACACACTTGGATGTGTCACGCTAATTGCTTATCCATACAACACATGTATATGATCGTAGCAAAATGACTGTCCCTTCTTTGGGGCAAGAAATGGGACTGAACCCCAGCACTTAACCACCAGGGCATACAGCCTGAGACAGTATTGGTAAGAAGTTTGTTCTGGCAACAGCAGTGTAATTCCTGCATGGTCAAAATATTTGCAATATGATTATCCCGGCTCTTTTAACATTTCGACTATCCGAGCGCATTTGACTAGGGTTACAACTCCAGAACAAGCCCAAGTTACAAGTCTGTAAGAAAATTATTGCCCTAGTTCAGGGGTACATTTTAGAGTTCATTGCGCACTTTGAAAAAAAAAATCGGAAAACCAGGCCGAAAAAGAATTTCATTGGAACTTTGTAGCTGGTGTGTAAACTCAAATTTATAAATGGGAATGCTGAGAGCTTTATGAAGTGTCCTTAACTGTGTAATACAAGGTAAAAATATTGCTCCTGCAAGGAAGTGGAGGCAAAAACCCAAAGTGCACCACGTTAAGGCAGGTCGGCGTCAACAGATCAACAATATTTTCAGTATGCCTCATTTAAAGAAGTGATATTTTGACAATTTTTGGTACATCCTATAGCCTAATACTAGGGCTGAGTCAGTTCGAATAATTCACTATTCAAATATTTGATCTTCAATTTAACCGAATATCTGAATATTCGGTCACACCGACCGGTAATAACACACACAATTGTACATTATGATCAATACAATAGCCTCTC